GTGGCACATCCCTTAAATCAGAACTTTTTATAGGGAACCGGTTGTTAAGATTTTAGCAGCTCATCACTGCCTGCGGCCCATGCCGCTTCCCACAGCTCCTATTGGCCGGAAACGGCAAACCGCCGCCACTGGGAGCTGCAGGTAGCCATGCCTGCGGACGGTCAATGTAAACACTGTCTCGCGGCCTGCGAATGGATTACCCTGACAGGCCGCATGCAGCCCGTGGGCCACAGGTTGCCCACCACTGGTCTATATGCACCACTTCTTCTCCCCTGACCCCGAACTTTGCAGGCTATATAATCAGATATAATGTTCTATATGCTGATACAACTTTGAGCCCCACAGAATTTTTCTGAAATGACTTTGCTGCTCTGCATGGTCACAAGGGATCTGTACATGTGGAACTGTTGACAGGATCGGGCCCCTGAACAGCTTCAGCTCTTTGTAGTTTATGCAATACCAATTAAAGATGTTTTCATTTTGTGCTCATGTTGCAACTCCAAACAGATTGGAATTTTTAAAGGGAACTCCCTGCTAGCCTAGTATAGATCTCAGTTTCACTATACTCTGCCCATACCATGTGTTTGCGAAGGAGGGGGGAGCGGATGTTAAAATGAATACTACCATTAAGGGCTGTAGCATAGTAGCTCTGACACGACCCGCAGGGCTGCTTGGGTTAACTATAAATACATTATACTACATGTCCATGTCGAATACCAGAATGCCATTGCACTACTCCTCTCCCTCCCCCCTTCCTGCTGACTGACAGACACCTGCTGAACGCAACATAGTGCGGGTGCAGGATAAAACACTGAATGGAGCCTCAGAAATAATATTAACACCCACAGGATTCAAGCGCAGGGCAAACCCACCAGTTAAGAGGTTCTCAACCTTTCCAGACTACTGTACCCCTTTCAGAGTCTGATTTGTCTTGTGTACCCCCAAGTTTCAACTCACTTAAAAACTACTTGCTTACAAAATCAGACATAAAATTACAAAAGTGTCACAGTGCACTGCAGAACTGCGTATTTTTGCCATATAATTATAAAATAATTCAATTGGAATATAAATATTGAACTTACACTGCAGTGTAAAGTGTATAGAGCAGTAAAAGCAAGTCATTGTCAGTATGAAATGGTAGTTTGTACTGACTTCGCGAGTGCTTTTTATGTAGCCTGTTGTAAAACGAGGCAAATCTCTAGCTGAGTTGATGTACCCCCTGGAAGACCTCTCAGTACCCCCAGGGGTACCCGTATCCCTGGTTGAGACCCACTGCACCAGCTGGATCCAGGGAAACGCCAGGGGCAGGAAAGAGTTAAGCTCTGCTGCCACCCAACTTGGTGGCTTCCCCTCTCAGGTTGAGCGCGAGACTCACTCATTTCCCCAAGCCCTGCAGTGGTGCTGGAACAATTTTTATAGTGGGGGCGCTGAAGGCGGAAACTATGTATTCGGGTTGTTATTACGACTTCAAGCCTGGGGGTGCAGCGCTCTCCCCCCCCCCATAAAGCGCTGCTCTCTACGCTGCCTAGAAAAAGTTTTTTTTTCCAGCAAAAGGGGGGACACAACGTGCCAGTCTCTCCTCTCCGCTTGTCAACACGCGGATCCCGCCTGCCATGGCCTTGCCAAGGAGGCTGGGACTTGGAGGGCTCGGCGGCCCCTAGGCGTTCAGCAGCGAGCAGCAGTGAATGTGAAAGTGACATGCAGAAGAGCAGAGCTCTGCCCTCGCCCAGGACACCCCGCAGTGCCTGCGTCCCCCTTCCCCAGCACTGAGACGGAGAGCCCGAAAGGGGTCACTTACCCAGCATGGGTGCCAGGGGGCTGCTTGGGACGAGCCTCTGCAGGAGGAATCCGGGAGCAGCCAGCTGCGGCAGTGGCGCCTGCGGGGTTTGAATGGCGTTTGCGGAGGCCCCTCCTTCACGGGCTCCCTCCCCTCCTCTGTCCCGTCCCCGATCGGCCTGGCACTGCCCGTCCCCGCCACATGCAAGCCAGGGAGGCGAGAGCAATGGCGAGCCGTGCCCTGCCCACTGATGCCCCGGCTGGGTGGCTGCGCTCCGCCAGCTGCTCCCCTGGATCTTCTCCAGTTGTGTTGCAAACATTCCTTCCGGCCCGCATGTCCCGTCCCCCCCGCCCACTCCAGGGGACGCCGCCGCAGCCAGCACCCCCCTCCCCTGGCCATGCTTGGAACCGGGGGGCAGGAGCCGCGCAGACAGCGGCAGCCCGTTATGTAACCTCATCAGGGGGCTTATGCAACGGACAAGCTCTGTGCGGTGCACAGGCGTTGAGCGCTAGCCTCCAGAGCGAGGGAGCCGCTTTCAACTGTGTCACACTCACATCAGAAAGCCAGCCCCCGCTTTCAGAATTGCCTTGGCACTTTTGGGTGACGAGCTGCAAAATCCGTTTGCCTGGTAAGCATGGCTTCTCTGCCTCGCCCCTGCCCATCTCCTCCTCCTCAATCCCGCAGCGTGTGTGTGATGATCCCCCAGCTCCTTTCCCACGCAACAGCTTGCTATGTCATACACACGCAGGATTATGACTTCATCCTAGGATCAAGCAGAAGGAGAAGCTGAGTTAAGAGGGAGAAAGATTTTATTAAAGCTAGAGTCTCCTCTGCAATGGGCAGGGCATTACAGGGAGAAGTAAATGAGGTTTGTGTTAATCTACTGCCAACCATCATAAGGCCCTACACACAGCAGGTAGGTTGTTTGACTCTGAAGGGTCTTGCCTTTTAAACTCAGTTATTTTAATCCAGCATTGTGCACATCCAAGAGCTGTGTATTACTTTAAAAGCAGCATAAGTGTTGGAACGATGCACTTAACAGAGCAGGCTGTTTTCTCTTAATACCTTTTTCATACACCACTTTTGAGAAGTAAATGGTGCCCTTACAAAACAGTTACAGATTCATCTAGGACTACACACACTGCTGTCACAAGGGTAATCAATTCCATCACCAAAATAAGAACAGCAGCTTCTATTTTAATATCCATGATTATTGTTTATATGATAGTAGCACCTCCTCTCTCAAACCAAGATTAAATATATAGTTATATAAAAACAGAAAGACCAAAGTGTTTTGATTTTCCAGCACTAAGGTAGTCTTTGTTTACATAACCAAATAAAGGAGCCCAGGCAGCAACAAACATCCTACAGTTTGACCTGTAGCATCAGAACATTTAGCTATAATCATTAAAAACCACATTGTATCAAGCAATTCCTGTTCTGTCCCAAGGTAAAGCTTTTCTGTATCCTCATAACATAATTGAAACAAAAATCAAATGAATACCTAGAACTTTGCATTGCAATGATTAATAAGGTTTAAGTGAGGGTGCATTCCTAAAAGAAACATTGAGGCAAATCTAAACAGATGAGGGGGTTTTGGTTGTTTGTTTTGTTTTAATGTTAGATCTAAACTTTCCATTGCTGGGACATATCCACTACAACATTTCTACAATCCATTAAAAAAGTATCGCCAAAGTGACTGCCTTGAGCCCTGAACTTGCTTTTAGGTGTGCTGGATTTAATAAAAAAGTATATATTGCATGTAGCTTATACACTATTATCTACATCTATAACTAAATAAAACGTATTGGCTAGCAGGGATGCGTATCACTGGTTGCTGCTGCACAGTATTGGAATTGCTCAACTTCACATCACAGTCCCTGAAAGGTATTTAGACAACTAATCCTCATGGATTTCAATGGGAAATAGGCACCTAAATACCTCTGACATTCTGGGCCCATAAACCTCTGGACTGGTTCGCTGGCCCTTGACAGTAAAGTTCCAGCACACTACTAAAGGCTCCCCCTCCCCCGCACTTCTGCCATTGTTTTGGAAACCTCCCTCCCCACCTAGCAGTGACAGGGTTAACTTACTAGCTAGTGTGTCAAGGGCCTGAAAGGAATATGGCAGCATAGAGAGTGGCCAGGCTTCCCAGGCCATCCTCTACAAAATAGTAGAGGCCAAAGTCCACATAGCAGTTACAGAGGAGCTCCCAGAGGGCTAGGTGAAGGGGGTACAACGGTGCAGACTTGACAGTGTCTGTTCCATATCCATGGATCCATCTGATTTTCTTCCCCTTAGCCTGTGGAAATGGATATAACCCTGAAGCATTATGCACTCCGTGTGAGTGTGTGTCAAGATTGAGTAATTATATTTTATTCTGTATCTACACTAGAAACATTGATTCAGTCACCATTACGAGCAAAGAGGCCACTGACTCATTTGCTAAAAGTCCTGCAGATAAGAAATGAGGTTATACTCTCTGGTCTGTTAAGGCAGAAAAAGATGGTCTAATGCATTCAGAAAGATTTCCTTTTCCATTTGAACGGCCCCAAATGGTCAGTGTTCAGAGACACACTTTGAAGGTTGTGTTGTCTTTACCATTAAATCAAAAAGTTGATTGCATTGAACTTATCTTCTAACATTTCCCAGTGTTGATACCAGATTTTATATTATTAACCAAGTTCAGGGCCGGCTCTAGGCACCAGCAAACCAAGCATGTGCTTGGGGTGGCGCAATTGCAGGGGCGGCATTCCGGACACTTTTTTTTTTTGCTTCTGCAGTTGCGCTCCTGGGGGTTTTTTTTTTTTTTTTTTTTTGCTTGGGGCAGCAAAAAACCTAGAGCCGGCCCTGACCATCTGATTGGCTCTTGTCATTGATGACAGTTTGTGATATGCTTAGGTATAAAAGTCATTATCATTGTACAGACAACCAACATGATTAAACAAATGAGTACTCATGCTTATAAAAACCAGTCTGCTATGCAAACAATGGAAGGCTGACCTCAGCAGGCTATCACTTCACACCTAAAAAAGTAGGGAGGGATTAAATGATGAAGGATGAAGTACAGGGGTGGAGAGCCTGTCAAAAGAACTGAACAGCAGCTCACTCTTTTTAAATATATGTTTTTTTTTTCTCTCCAAGATAAAAGTCTTCTCTCGCTGACAGACATTTGTGGTTTGATTTAGTGTGCAGCAGTTTCATACATTTCCTGTGACAGGCAGAATGCCTCAGAGACTGGGTGGAAAGCACAAAACAGTTGCTGGCAAGCAATAGTAACATTTACATTGGCACGATTTGATCGTTAGGCGGAACCTGTGCAGCATCTTTACAACAATGCGGAGGCATTTATAGCACCACAAGGTAACTGGGCTCTTCTATTTTTAGTGCAATACACCCATTTGCACATTCTTGTAGTTGATGACAAGCAGACATTATAGAGAATCTATGAAATTCTGATGTTTCCCTTTTATGTTCTTTGTGGACAGGGATGTACCCAAACCAGAGAGAACTGCAATCCTTACATTCCTGAAAACTATTATTGAAATGTTATTGAGTCACTTGGCAGACCTGAAAAAGTGAGGTAAGATGTGAGAAGTAGGGCATTTGTGTGGTGTACCAATGTCGTCTTTGGAATGATAAAAACTGTAATATCAGGGCTTTTCCTGGCATAGTGTAGATTTTAAATAATTTTAATATTAAATCAGTCTGTTCTTTGATGCTGCACATGGTTGTACAGTGGACATTCAGAGGATGTCACTAGAGGAGGTTACAGAAAACTTCTTTCCCTACTGGGAGGGGAACAAAGAGTTCTAAAATCCAATGGATCAGATCCTCTGGGGTGCTGCTCACATACCTTGTGCACTCACTAAAACAGGAGTTTTGTTGCTGCAAGGAATATAAGTAAGTTTGGACCTTTTGTCTGAGCAATCTTGGTAGTGCCACTTAACAGATGATACCCAAATCAGGTACAAAGGCTATCTGTTAATGCTTTTCTCCCGGCAGTCAGCTATGTCCAAAGAAGCAGCAAGTCCCTGTAGCATCCTTATGTGTGAAGAAAGTGTAGCACATACCACAAGAGAACACAGTGGACAAGATCCTCAGCTGATGTAAATCAATGCAATTCTCTTAAAGTCAATAGAGCTATGCCAATTGACACCAGCCGAAGATCTAGCTCAATTACACTTACACAGTTATGGGCAAAACAGTTTTATTATAACATATGGTTTGCAAGCTAACATTCTTCCCATGAATATAACATTTGCTTCTGTCTCGCAGTATTTTTGAGTGTACACACTGTGTAGCAACAATCTGTGTTCATATTTTGGAGACATTTGAATCTTTCAGGACATTGGAAATATTCATAAAAATACAATTGTCACAGCCTTGATCAAGTTCCCCCGATGGACCTCACCATTGTGTTTTGATCCACACTGTGGTCTTGCATGTGCTTTTATGCTCCCCATTGTCTGGGCAAGCTTTAGTCAAGGTCTCTGAGTCCAGCCCCTCTGACACACTTGCTGGGCACAGAATCAGTCTGATATCTCTCTTCTGGAAGTCTCAGAAATGCTGAGTCCCTAAAACACCACGATTGCCGTAAGAGGGTGCTTAAGCTCTCTGGTTTATAATTTACCTGATAGTTGTAGCAAATAGACACAGATTTTGCAGGAGGATTCCTAAAACAATCACTCTTTATTTTAGGCAGCACAATATCTATATATAGATTCATAGAAAATAAGTACACAGTTCCTTGCCTCTGTTTCCTCACCACTCTTGAGAGTTCTTTGGGATTTGGTCACAGTCCTCGGGGGTGGGGGTGGGGGGAGTGTAGAATTCTTCCTCTCCCCCCACTTCCCTTCTATATAACCTTGCCTTCTATTTCCCTTTTCCTCAAATGGCCAGAAAGAGGACTGGGAATGGCTGAGCCATTACAAACATTGAATCTATCTCCCCTTGTAAGTATTCTCACACTTCTTATCAAACTGTCTGTACTGGGCTATCTTGATTATCACTTCAGAAGTTTTTTTTCTCTTACTTAATGGGCCTCTCAGAGTTGGTAAGACAACTCCCACCTGTTCATGCTCTCTGTATGTGTGTATATATATCTCCTCAATATATGTTCCATTCTATGCATCCGAAGAAGTGGGCTGTAGCCCACGAAAGCTTATTCTCTAATAAATTTGTTAGTCTTGAAGGTGCCGTAACTACTCCTGTTCTTTTTGCAGATACAGACTAACACGGTGGCTACTCTGAAACCTTCCTTTTATGGACTTCAAAGTACCCCATCAGGTGATCTGTCACTTAGTCATCACCCACCTGGAATTCACACTTG